GTCATCTTACATAAGGATCAAATTATCAGCAGAGATAAGGTGATTTTGGGGTTTTTCCTCATTGTGTACCGTTGAATTGGATCCGACTGGCACAGGAGGAGATTGCCCCTTCTTCTCTAGTGGATTCGAACACTTTTCGTTTGTTTTGTTGATTGGTTTCTGATGGTGCAATAGTTTAGTGCTTGACTACTAACCAAATGTTGCCAGTTCAATCCCACCAGTGACACCAAGGGGAGAAAAACTAGTAAAGAGAATGTGGCACTAGACCATCATAGTCAATGTCAGATGGATCTTGGCTGAAAGCAGAGAGTAAGTACCAGGGAAATATCTATTTGTGTTTTGTTGATTTTGCAAAGGTATTTGGCTGTGTGGATCACAACAAATCGTGGCTAACCTTGAGAAGAATGGGAGTCCCAGAACACTTGATTGTATTCATGCTAAACCTGTACAGGAAGCAGTCATCAGAACATAGCAAGGAAACACTGCATGATTCTAAATCAAGAAAGGAGTCTTCAGGGATGTGTCCTTTCTCCATACCTTTTTAGTCTTTATGAGGAACAGTTCTTGTGGCATCAGGCTTAGAGGAAGATTAGTCCATAACCTTAGTTATGCAGATGATACAACCTTGCTTACTGAAACTGAGGAGGACCTGAATTGCTTGCTGCAGAGGTTCAAAGACTATATTCTGCAATATAGTTCAACATCAAGAAAGCAAAGATTCTCATCTCTAGGCCAATTGGCAACACCATGATAGACCATTAGACCAATTAGTAACACCATGATAGATGGTGAATAGATTGATTGTTAACAATTTCAGCTTGGTCAATTCCATAATCAACATTCAAAGAACTAGCAGTTAGGAAATTAAAAGACTAATTGCATTAGCAAAATCTGCTTTCAGGTACCTCTCCAGAGTGCTGAAGAGCAACAATGTCAGTCTAGAGACTAAGGTGCCTGATCCAGACCATGGTCCTTGCAATTACTTGTTAAGCACAAGTGAGCTGGACAGTGACCAAGGATGACAGAAGAATTGATGTCTTTGAATTTTTGGTGCTGGAGCTTATTGAACATACCATGGACTGTGAACAGAGTAAACAAGTCTGTCCTGGATATGGTGAACCCAAGTTGTTCCTTGGAGGCAAGGAGTTTGAGACCCTGTCTCACATTCTTTGGGCATGGTGATAGGAAAGTCCATGGGGAAGCACATCATCCTTGGAAGGATGGAGGGACAGTGCAGGACAGAAAGATCTCGGATGAGGTGGACTGACTCAGTGACTAGGGTAGTGGGGGTAAGTGTGTCAGAGACAGTGAGATTGGCTCAGATAGGGCAGGTTCAGAGCTCTTTTGCATAAGGTCACCATGAATCACAGGTAACTCAATGGCATATAACAGCAACAATTAACAGCTTTGTCCTGTATGGCTACTTTGACTCAGAACCAACTTAATGACTAACAGTTACAACATATTTCTTTAAAGGCACATGATAACCAATGTTACAGTATTTCAGAAAATTGAAATAGCTTACACCAATTCATACAACTGATAGTGTGAGGGCAGGGTTCTGTTTCTCTGAAACTTAAAAAATAATTATTCCTATAAAGACAAATACCCAGTTCTTGAAAACAATTAAAATATTAGACTAAGTACAAGCAGAGTGCTCCTTAGTGTAGACAGGGTGGTGAAACACTGGCTCACATAGCTTAGGGCATGTTGTCAGGTGGGTCAAATGGAAGGAGACATCAGGCTGGACAAGGTAGAAGGTCAGCAAAGACAGGAAGACCCTCGACAAGATGGCCTGACACAAATGTACGTAAGTATATCGGGGATGGTGAGCACATTGCAGGATAGGGCAGGGCTTGCATTCATAGGGTCGCGGTGAGTCATAGTTGACTTGATGCTATTTAACAGCAGCACCATTTCATCTGTTTTCTCTTTCCACATTCTTATTCCTCATTTATTAACAAGGAGTAGGTTCTGTTTAGTAACATTCTTGTGACCATATTCCATGAGCATGATTAAAACATATTCAGTGACTATGCTATTAGTTTTAGTTGCATTGGGTTGTCTCTGATGCATGAAGTCTTATGTACCGCAGAATAAAAAGTCTGATGCCTGCTATCTTCATAATTGTGTTCTCCTTACTAGTATGTTTTAATGGGCATATCCAAGGGGCATATATTGATGGACAGGTGTCCTTTTGAATATATTCAATGTATAAAAACCATCTTTTGAATAAAATTTCAACATTTAGTGTGAGAAAGTTTAGTGTATGTTAATATATTTCTAATCTTTTTAAAGTTATTTTCTATTTTGCCAACATATCAAAATTCCAGACATTAGCCAATGTGAATGTATTGTGTGAATTTGCACAATTAACAGAAATGCAAAAAGATATCTAAAGCCTATAGCAATTTATGTGATGTTCTAGTTGACATGTTTTCACAGCAGTATTTGGAGTGCTTAGATTGTCTGTCTCAGTTCCCCTGCTGCTATCACAGAACTGCGTCAGAGTAATTGGTTTCCTTTGTAATCCTACATGTTTTATTTTGTGTATTTAAAAACATTTTGCTAAGAAGGAACCTTCATCATTCTAACAACTGCATCATAAAGAAACATAATTGATCTTATAAGAGCTAAGGGAGGATTGAGAGAGTGGGGAATATATCTGAGCTGAGGAAAGATAAGATCTGTCATCCAGCTTAACCTGGGTCCCAACAGAAAGAAAAGCTGAGGACTGAAGAGAGAGACTGGTCAGGGCCAGAATCTTAAAGCCCCAGAAACCCAAAGTCTTGGCTTACTGCTACCATCTTAGACATTACACTATTTTTAAAAAATCCTTCTCTTTTGATACATTTGATGAATTGGCATTTTGACAAATCTAGACTTCTTTAAAAATTGTCTGAACCACCTTATTGACTTGCTAAAGCAACCGCTTAAATAGATAGTAATGAATGGATAAATTCATCAGCCCTGTGACTCCATTAGCTCATTTACAATGAATGTCCTGCCACATTGAAGTATCACTTCATATCCACTAAAATGACTATGACCAAAACGAGCATAGTCACTAGTATTTCCTTGGATGTGAAGAAATCAAAACTCTTACACATTGCTTGTAGGAATGTAAAATGGAGCAAACACTTTGGAAAAGAGTCAGATAGTTTCTCAAATGGTTGAACATAGAGTTGTAATATGACCTAGAAATTCACTCCTAGGTGTACGAAGTTTTTATTGTTAGGTTCCATCGAGTCGAGTATGACTCATAGCGACCCTAAGAACAAAAGGTCTGAGCCTTGTTCTCTTCTGCACCACCCTCACACTTCCTTACACACAAGAGCGCATTGCAGCAGTCACCATGTTAGTCCACCTGATCGAAGGTCTTCGTCTCCTTCACTGACCTTCCACCCTGCCTAGCATCATGTCTTTCTCCAAGGAATTGCCCCTCCTAGAAACTTGCCCAAAGTATGTGAGGCAAAGCCTCATCATTATTGCCTCCAAAGAGCACTCTGGCTATACCCTCTCCAAGACATACTTGTTCTCTTGGCTGTCTACAGGATGTTCAGTGCTCTTCCCAGCACCACAGCTCAAAGGCATCAATTCTTCTTGTCATCCTTATTCATTGTCCAGCTCTCAGATACATACCAAGTCATCAGAAAGACCATGGTCTGAATCAAATGCACCTTAGTCCTCAAACTGACATTACTCCTCAGTAATTTGGAGAGGTCCCTAACTGCAGATTTTCCCAGTACAGTACATCTCCTTATTTCCTGGCTGCTGATACCATGGGTGTTAATTGTGGCTTCAAGTAAGATGAAGCTGTTGACAAGAGAAGTGGAACTGTATATCCATATAATAATTAGTCAGTACATGTTCATAGTAGGATTATTCCTAAAGTAGCCAAAAGCAGAAACAACACAAATGTCCATCACTGATAAACTGGGAAAAGAAAATGTGATATATCCCTACAGTTCAGTTCTCAAAAAGCCAAAACACAGATGCATGTTACAACATAGATGACTCTTGAAAACAAGCTAAGTAAACGAAGCCAGTCCCAAATGAGCCTATACATGAAAGGTTTCATAATAAAGTATAAAGAATGAGGATTGACTGCTAGTGTATACTGGGTTTCTTTCAATCGTGATGAAAAATCTTCTAAAACTGTGGTGGTGGTTGAACAACTCTTAGAATAAAGTCATTTAATCATATACTTTAGAGAGCGAGTTGTGACTCTCAATAAAGTTGTTAAAAATGAATTCTTTATACACTGAACTCTAATATCCAGGAATTATTTTTTTTTTTGCGTTCTTGTGGTCTGACATCAAAACTTGATCGCTGTGCTTCCCTGCATATTGGTATGATATATCAAGTCCATATTAATACTCATCAGCTCAGTGGTGGGCACACGGACTGCATGAGTTTCTCAGATCTTTAGTGTTTCAGTAAACCACAGTATATAGGAAATGAAACCATTCTGCTCACCTTGAAATTAAAAAGTAGAAGGCACTCCATTGTGGATGTTTCTTTTCATTTCAAACTCTAAATATTACCATTTCATAGCTATAAAACCTAATTGCTTACATACTTTGACCTTCATTTTTTTCATACAAAAATGGGAATAATAATACACACCTCAAAATGTTTTGAAAATTTATAGAGAAACTTCTAAGCACAGTGTTTAACACATAGCTGACCAAACTCCCTTGCACTGGAGGCAGTTCTGACTCATAGTGACTTTCTCTTGGTTTCCCCAGGCTGTAAATCATAGGAGGAGGAGGCTTGCCATCCTTCTCCCAAGGGATCCCTGGTGGATTCGAACTGCCGGAGATGGGTGCACTACAGAGTATGCTACAGGAACTCCCTAGATGCGGCAAATTTATTATTATTATTTCCAAGGAGTAATTTGTAATCAGATGCTTTCCTGGACTTTAGAGTAATTAAAATACTCTTCAAGTTTGTTTGCTATTTACACATCACACGATTTGTACTCTTCTTTTTAATAGGTGCAACGTAAGAGATATGATGCAATTCTCAAGCGTTTGCATTGTCAAGTGAACAAGTTTCAGTCAGATAGGAGACAATGGCAGTGGAAAATTGAGCGACTAGAAGAAACTGCAGCCAAACTTAGAAAACGCATTGCAGTGCAAAAATAACAGTGCTACCAGGCAGTGTGGTACACAAACCATGGCAACTGAAATTGCGGGACAGTCTGGAAGGAATTCCCTGGATTCTTAACTAGCATTACTGGAGTTCTGTCTTAATGGCAAGGTTTTTTTTTAAAAAAAAAAATTTCTGGTTTTTATTCTGCCGTCCGTTTATTCAAGTACATCCTCACCCTACTAACCATGGTAGTAGTAGTAGAGAGATAATAGGAATGTTTACCAGAGAACAGTGAAGGCTCAGTACAGTTCTCAGTGTGTAAGATGAACATGTTGGTATACTTGTTTGTAACCATATTGTATTCACCAAGTTAGTATGTAAAAACCTTAGAATAAAAAGAAAACTTGAATTTTCAGTGATTTAAATTCTTAAGATATAGAAAAATAGTTGTCTCTTTCAGACTTTATTAGAACTTTTTCTTTTCTAACTATCTTTACTCTAGCCCGTGAGCATTGACACTGTCAATGATATTTATATATGGTCAGTGCTTTAGATATTTTACTCAATTTTCTTTCTTTATCCAGAAAGTGTAATAACTTTTGGTCACTAAATAGTATAGTCTTTTAGAGTTTTGGAGTGCATAAATGGTTTGTTTTAGGTTTGTTTTGTCTGTAAATCCTTTACTCCTATTTTGTGACCACATTAAATGACAGTATTATCCAAGGCAAACATGCTGTTGTTGTGAGTTTTCATCAAATCAGCTCAGGCTCCAGGAGACCCAGGGCATCTCCTTAACTGGTGGCACACTCACGTCTGTTATGACTGCTGTCATAATCTATGACTGCTGTCCAATCTAGTGGGCTCATTGTCCAACAGTATGTTGGACTGTATTCTGTTGTGATCCATGGGGTTTTCTTGGCCTATTTTCAGAAGTAGATTGGCAGTGATTGCCTTCTGGTGTGTCTTAGTATACAAACTGTTCTAAAACTTGTCCACCACTGGAAATCTTTCTGGTATTTGAAATACTTCCAACATTGCAGCAATGCACATCCATCAAAATGCAACTGACTGGTAGGTAGCATTGGAAAGCAAACATACAAGCTCATGAAGTATTGACTGGTAGAGACATACATATTTCTTTTCCTATTGGGAGGCAAATGCCGTGTGCCCTGTGAACAAATTAGATTTTATCTTGTCTCTTTAAAAAAAAATTATACTGGTTTGTATACAAAATTCATGTGCATTGTGTATCGTTCATATACATTGTGTTTCACACGTTACTTCATTCACATTGTGTTTCAGATGATCACTCATATTTATTGTGTTTTAGAAATTAATCATCATTGATCTCCAGCTAGTATTGCCATGTCCTTTCAGGTGTCCAGTGGCTCTTTCCTAATTCCTTCACATTCCCCCTCCAACCCCCAAACTCTGTCATCCTGGTAAATTCCCCCCTCTCCTCGTCCTCTGTCTCCCTGCCTCCCTCCCCTTTCCCTTTTGTGCTTTTATACGCAATGCTCTCCATGTCTCAACTAAGGAAAATGCTGAGGAATAGGAACAACAAAAAAATAATTGTAGAGCTTCAAAATAGTTTTAAGAAGGATTTCATTATTTCAAAGCAACATCAAAAATCTAATTTATTTTCTTTGTTTTTCATATCTGAGACACAGCATTCCCCATACATATTCAGTCTTTATGCTGAACAGAGCGTTCAAAAAATGGGCTTCTGTGACAATGCAGCATCAGGATCAGAGGAAGACTCATCAACAGCATATATTATGCAGATGATATAACTTTGCATATTAAAAGTGGGAAGACTTCAAGTGCTAGCTGAAGAAGATCAAAGACTACAGCCTTCAATGTGCATTACTTCTCAACATTCAAACACAAGATCTTCAGCACTGGACCAGTATGCATCATCTAGGTAGTGTGAGAAGATTTAAGTTGTCAGCAATTTCATCTTATTTGAATTCATGATCAACACCCTTGGTACCAGCAATCAAGAAATGAAAAGTCACATTGCATTGGGAAAGTCTGCTGCCAAGAGCCTCTCCAAATTGTTAGTGTCAGTGTCAGCTTAGAGACTAAGGTGTTCCTGATCCAAGTCATGGTTTTTTCAGTTACATGCATATGAAAGTTGACGGTAAATAAGGATGACAGAAGAAGATTCAATGCCTTTGAATTTGATATTGGAGAATCATACTGAGTATCTCATGGACTGCCAAAAGAACTAACAAATATATCTTGGGAAAAGTGCTTCCCTGGTGCTCCTTATAAGGAAGGATGGTGAAACTTCAACTCACATACTTTGAGCATGTTGTTAGAAGAGGCCAGTCCTTGGGAAAAAGATCACATGCTTGGAAAGGTGAAGGGTCAGTAAAAGAGAAAATGACCCTCAACAAGAAGATGGATTGACACAGTGACTGTAACGATGGACTCAACAATATATCCAATATATCAGAGAGGATGAAGGTACAGGATAGGGCAAGGTTCAGATCTGTTGTTCAGATGATTACTGTGAATCATAGTCAACTCGAGGGCACTGTAGCTGATACAGCACAGAGACATAAACCTAATATGTCTAAAGTAAACATTGCCTTATTACGATTTAATGGAACATATTGGTGTGTGCCATAGAACCAGAACCATAACTGACCCTTCAGAGGGTTTTCAGAGGCAATTAATTGTACAAAAGGAGATTACCCATCCATTTCCTGAGCGTACCATGGACTGCTAGGAAAACAAACAGATTCATCCTGGAAAGGGTTAAACTGGGCGGCTCCCTGGAGGAAAGGATTCTGAAGCTCTGTCTGACATACTTTGGACATGTTGTAAGGAGGGACAGGTTCTTGGAGAGGGACATCATGCTTGGGAGGGTGGAGGGACAGCGCAGAAGGGGAAGACCCTCTATGAGGCGGATTGATTCAATGACTGGGGTAATAGGGATGGGCGTATCAGAGACAGTGCGATTGGCACAGGATAGAGCAGAGTTTAGGGCTGTTGTACACAGGGTTGCTATGAGTCGCAAGCGACTCGATGGCACATAACAACAACAACAACGATGCAAGTTTAAGAACTAAGGTTCTTCTGATTCAGGCCATGGTCATTGCAAGCACTGGCTATGCATCTGAAAACTTGGCAATGAATAATAAATGACAGAAGAATAATTGGTACCTTTGAACTGTGGTGTTGGAGAAGAGCACTGAACATCTCATGGACAGCCAAAAGAACAAACATATATGTCTTGGAGAAAATGCAGCCAGAGTGCTCTTTGGAGGTAAAGATGATAAAGCTTCACCTCACATACTCTGGGCATGTTACTAGGAGGGGCTGTTCCTTGAAAAGCTACATGGTGTTTAAATAGGCAGAGGGTTGGCAAAGGAGAGGGAGACATTCAACCAGATGGGTTGATATGGTGACTGCCACAGTGACCTCTAATGTGTCAGGAAGTATAAGAATAACACAGGATAGGACAGGGTTCAGTTCTACCGTTCACGGGGTTACTATGGGTTGTATTCAATGGCACCTAACAACACTAACAACTTTTAAATTAAGAGGCAAAAATAGATTTAATCTGCTTAAAAGAGTATGTTCGACTTGAGACGGCAATTTGCAGTGTAGTTTTAAAAACTATACGTGATAGTAATATGTGCCTATTTTAAATTTTATGACAATTGAAAAAATATTTTAAAGAGAAGATTCCTTTTCCTTCTTTATTTTAATCTTGAAAACTCTTAGATTGATGGAGTTTGTCAAGGTATCCAAGGTCTAAATCTAGAATATAAATCTAGAATCTGCATTTTCTTTTAAACCTGATGAAATTGTTAATGTTAGGTGCCATGGAGTCATTCTGACTCATGTTGTTTGCCATGAATCAGAACTGACTCATAGCTGACCCTCCAGCAGGTTTTCAAAGGTACTTAATCGCACAGGAGGAGACTACCCGTCCTTCTCCCGTGGAGCAGCTGGTAGATTGTGCCTCTGGGGTTGCAGAACAGTTTTTTGCCACTAGGCCAATCATAATGACCCCATATTCAACATAACTAAGATCTGCCTAGCCCACCCCAACCTCACAGTCTCTTCTGTATCCATTCTTACAACAACTTTGTCCGTCCATCTTACGGAAGGTCTTTTTCTCTGATGAAATAGTGATGATACTGTTTCAATAGTCACAAATTCTAAAGTTAATGAAGAAAAAAATTTTTTAAAAAATCTTCCTAGCTGAATGCAATTGTATCTCTTTTGAATAAATATTCCATTTGGAATTTCCCTCTTTCCTCCTGGCATGCATGTGTGTTCCCTGGAGCGTTAAGTTGCATTGTTGATAGGGGAAGGCTTCTGGTTCCAGTGCCAGCCTTTGACCTCACTGGCCTTGCAGAGGTGTGATTCTTCTGGTTTTGAGCATCGTTTCTGCTCCTGCTGCACTTGCATTCGTATTGCTAGTCGATGCAATCTCCATCATCCTTGATCAGTTATGCTACCACTCTTCCTCTAATTCATTTCTCTTTCTGGATGCTGGCCAAATTTTATCTCCTTATAGTCGAGGGAATACTATTCTACCTATACACTTTTCACCACTTGGATTTCTGCTATAAACTGACTTTTTCAAGGCTCTTAGCACTTTGAGGTTCAGAAAACTTTTCACCTTTTAAAATACCCGTCCTCCTATGAAGGGAAACTATGAATTCAAGAATATTGGTTTTGTTGTGGCCTTTAAAAAAAGATCTCCTGTGAAACTCAAAAGTTGATTAATAACTTAATTCCCAGAAGTATCTGTCCTGACCTTGACCTTCTAGGTTTTATTACCTAAATTATCAGGAAAAAAACCAGTGCGAGAAGGCAGAGGTGTAAGAAAACCTACAACTAATATTGCAAAAAATTGCCTATTGTATGTGCAGAGAAAAGAAGACTGTGAAGACACCCCTGGGATATTATCAGAAGGACCCAGTTCCTGTGAAAGGTCATCATGCTTGATTAAAGCAAAAGATCAGTGAAAGAGAGGAAGACCCTCAAAAAGGTGGATTGACAGTGATCGCAACAATGGGCTTGGGCA